TGACGGGTGAGAGGTAAGAAGGAAAGGAGGATTGGAAGATTGGTACGAGAGACGAAGGAAAAGAGAGAGAGAGCGAGGAACAATAGAGTCAAAGGTAAAGAAGAATGATTTGACGTATAATTACTCTTGTTTTCTGAGGCAACGAGAAAGTAATTATTCTCATGGATGATTGCGTAATCAGAGTCCGAGGTCCACAATCCAGGTAGACACAGGGATAAGGGACGGAGGTAAGTGTAGACAGTGTACAAATCCACAAGGGGCCGTGACGAGGATTCGAACCTGCGTCCGGGAGCATCCCAGACACTGCCTTAATCGACTGAGCTACGACAGGGTAAAAGGGTTGAAACCGAAGTTCTACTGAACTTACTGGATCCCGTAGCCTCTCCGAGACACAAATGTAAATGTAAGGGTAAAAATGAGGTACACAATAGCATTCATGTTCATTTAAGAACTTTAATCAACGCTGTAAGTTCACGAACCAGAATCATTGTTTACTGAATCAAGTTGGAGACTGCGTGGACATGTATTTTATCTATTGTTATTTGTCTATTTATGCCTGCAGAATCAAGCTGTTAGCTTTTGGACTCCTAACATCGGTTGTCTAATGAACTGACTTCAGATCTATATTTTCTATTAAATATATTAGCTCTCTCTCTTTTTTTCACACATATAGATGGGTTGACTGTGTCTATTTGGACCTAAAAAAATGCTTTTGACAATCCCACACAAAAGGCTGTTCTGGAAACTGGAACATGCTGGAGGTGTGACAGGGAGACTTCTAACATGGATGACAATTTTTCTAACCGACAGATAGATGAGGGCAGTAATCAGAGACATTGTATCTGACTGGAAGAGTGTTACTAATGGAGTACCACAGGGTTCAGTTCTTGCACCAGTAATGTTCAAAGTCTACATAAGCGATCTACCAGAAGGAACACAGAATTATATGAGCAGGTTTGCGAATGATGAATAGGAGCCGGTCGGCCGAGCGGACAGAACACTGGACTTGTGATCCTGTGGTCCTGGGTTCGATCCCAGGCGCCGGCGAGAAACAATGGGCAGAGTTTCTTTCACCCTATGCCCCTGTTACCTAGCAGTAAAATAGGTACCTGGGTGTTAGTCAGCTGTCACGGGCTGCTTCCTGGGGGTGGAGGCCTGGTCGAGGACCGGGCCGCGGGGACACTAAAAACCCCCGAAATCATCTCAAGATAACCTCAAGATTATGCTAAGACAATACTGGTGACGATTGTAATGCCCTTCAAAGTGATCCAGATAAAAGAAGTGCTTGGAGCATCAAATGGCAAATAGAATTCAATGTGAATAAATGTCATGTCATGTTATTGAATGTGGAATCGGAGAAAATAGACCACAACTTACAAATTATGTGGAAAGGAATTACAGAACTCAAATAAAGAACGAGACCTAGGGATGGTTTTGGATAATAATCTGTCACCAGAGAAACACAAAGAAAATTGTGAGAGGAGCATATGTCCCGCCAAACACACACCGAAACTACGACGTTGGTGCAACGTTCGAACAAGTTTTAACACCACCTAACCAGTTATAACAACCAATATAGCAAGTTGTAACAACGTTCTAATACGTCATAAACACGTTAAGCCAAGATGTAACAACTTTATTACAAGTTGTAACAACGTTCTAATACGTCATAAACACGTTAAGCCAAGATGTAACAACTTTATTACAAGTTGTAACAACGTTCTAATACGTCATAAACACGTTAAGCCAAGATGTAACAACTTTATTACAAGTTGTAACAACGTTCTAACACGTCATAAACACGTTAAGCCAAGATGTAACAACTTTATTACAAGTTGTAACAACGTTCTAATACGTCATAAACACGTTAAGCCAAGATGTAACAACTTTATTACAAGTTGTAACAACGCTCTAATACGTCATAAACACGTTAAGCCAAGATGTAACAACTTTATTACAAGTTGTAACAACGCTCTAATACGTCATAAACACGTTAAGCCAAGATGTAACAACTTTATTACAAGTTGTAACAACGCTCTAATACGTCATAAACACGTTAAGCCAAGATGTAACAACTTTATTACAAGTTGTAACAACGTTCTAATACGTCATAAACACGTTAAGCCAAGATGTAACAACTTTATTACAAGTTGTAACAACGTTCTAATACGTCATAAACACGTTAAGCCAAGATGTAACAACTTTATTTCAAGTTGTAACAAGCGGAAAATAGAGACAGTTTCGGTTTGTGTTTCCAGGGTTGTCGCTTGACAACTTCAGACATGGTTTTAATTATATGGGTGGTTAAAAACTAAAGAAACTGTTCATATCTTTTGTGAGACCAAAATTGGAATATGCAACAGTTGTATGGTGTCCAAATCTCAAGAAGAACAAACTGGAAAAGGTGCAACAGCACACTACAAAATGGCTTGTGGAACAAAAAAATATGAGTTTTGAGGAGAAACTAGAGGCGTTAAGCTTAATAAGTGCATATGTGACATACTAATTGATTGTGAATATATTAGTTTACCTTGAAAAGCTTCATAGAAAACACCGACCTCACCTAACCTTCTTAGTATGTTAAGATAAGCATCTTATTGCTTCTTATTTACAATTATTACTTAACCTATCAACGGTATAGGTTACGTAATAATTGTAATTAAGAAGCAATAAGATGCTTATGTTAACATACTAAGAAGGTTAGGTGAGGTCGGTGTTTTCTGTGAAGCTTTTCAAGGTAAACTAATATATTCACAATCAATTAGTATGTCACATATGCACTTATTAAATAAGCCAATATTGACTATAAGCAAGTGCGAGAACGGGTAGCACACTGCCAGCTTGACCATCCTAACCAAACATGCAGCAATAGAAGCGCTGCCCTCAGGTGGGGAAATTACTTACCCTAATACCTTAATAGCCACAACCTCATTTACTATTAATTAAAGATTAGGCTGAACGAGGGGTAATAGTAGGGCAATTTAGCATAATCAAACAATTACAGCATGGTACAAGAACAACGACTGCAATTAGGGGGTGTATACATAGCTCTAACTACACAAACAGGTTGTTTGATGTCTTGATACGATGTCTTGAACAAGTCATTAGCACAACATTGAGGCAACTTACAATATCTAGAGCAACACATTAGTACAACATTGAGGCAACTTAATATCTTGAGGAACCCATTAACACAACATTCAGGTAACTTACAATATCTAGACCATCACATTAGCACAACATTGAGGAAACTTACATAGATTTGCACTGCATTATGCCTGTTCAGTTCAGCCAGAAGTGATTTACACTGCTGTACACCTGTTCATTTCCCGGTGTACATATCCTGAGAGAATAAATTATACAGGACAAAACTATCCTTGTTGGTTGGTTGATAAGCTGTTGTGATGGATTAAATAATCCTCCGCTGGTTGATAGGTCTTTAGCCCCAATTTGAATTGGATTAAATAATCCTCCGCTGGTTGATAGGTCTTTAGCCCCAATTCGAATTGGATTAAAGAATCCTCCGCTGGTTGATAGGTCTTTAGCCCCAATTCGAATTGGATTAAAGAATCCTCCGCTGGTTGATAGGTCTTTAGCCCCAATTCGAATTGGATTAAAGAATCCTCCGCTGGTTGATAGGTCTTTAGCCCCAATTCGAATTGGATTAAAGAATCCTCCGCTGGTTGATAGGTCTTTAGCCCCAATTCGAATTGGATTAAAGAATCCTCCGCTGGTTGATAGGTCTTTAGCCCCAATTCGAATTGGATTAAAGAATCCTCCGCTGGTTGATAGGTCTTTAGCCCCAATTCGAATTGGATTAAAGAATCCTCCGCTGGTTGATAGGTCTTTAGCCCCAATTCGAATTGGATTAAAGAATCCTCCGCTGGTTGATAGGTCTTTAGCCCCAATTCGAATTGGATTAAAGAATCCTCCGCTGGTTGATAGGTCTTTAGCCCCAATTCGAATTGGATTAAAGAATCCTCCGCTGGTTGATAGGTCTTTAGCCCCAATTCGAATTGGATTAAAGAATCCTCCGCTGGTTGATAGGTCTTTAGCCCCAATTCGAATTGGATTAAAGAATCCTCCGCTGGTTGATAGGTCTTTAGCCCAAACTAGAATTGATTTTAACCTAGCCAGAAGCATTAAATTCGAAGTGATTTTTGTCCAGAATTTTTTTTGGTCAGAATTAGAGAGCTTTTAAACAAAAAAAAAAAAAAGTAATTTAAACGCTTTTTGTGATACCGTTGAAACTGCAGTGTATTAAATGTGAGGACAGAGTGGATAAAAATAAACTACCCAGGATTATTACTATAATTAGATCATTACTATAATTTAGAAAATATATTCTCCCTTGCTAGTCTATCATTTCCTTAAACTAAGAACAATTCAGGAAACTTGAGTAGTTTAATGTATTGCAATCCCTAAGATTTTATAATCCCTGATGATGTATTTTATTCCATGACGGATTATAGTCCTTCACGGATTATACTTCCAGTTGTATTATAGTCCCTGATGGATTATATAGTAATCCCTGATGGATTATATAGTAATCCCTGATGGATTATATGGTAATCCCTGATGGATTATATTGTAATCCCTGGCATAATTTAGTTCCTGATGGATTATATTGTAATCCCTGGCATAATTTAGTTCCTGATGGATTATATAGTAATCCCTGACATATTATAGTCCATGATATATGAATCCCTGCCATATTATAGTCCATGATATATGAATCCCTGCCATATTATAGTCCATGATATATGAATCCCTGGAATATTATAGTCCATGATATATTAATCCCTGCCATATTATAGTCCATGATATATGAGACCCTGGAATATTATAGTCCATGATATATGAGTCCCTGGTATATTATAGTCCATGATATATAAATCCTTGGCATATTATAGTCAGAAACATATTTCTTGAGACGGCAGATTGCAACAGCAGGCCGATATAACCAATAACTCTAATTTACTAAGTCAAAAAATGCAGGTAACCTAATTAGGACCGCAACTAATCACAGGTACACCGGCTATCTTGGTATAATGAGCCATTATAAGCTCACCCACGCTAATGACATTGTAAAGTTATTACCCATTTAATGAATTTTCAATTTATTAGTGTCTCTCTTTTGTGTTTGTGTAAAGGGTGGAGGGGGAAGGGGCCAAAGGAATACTGTGTCTCTCATCCCCTTAATCTGTGGGTTTGAATTCCAAAATGTTATTAGTACCCCCCAAAACCCAATTTGTACAGTGGGTTTGAATTCCAAAAGCTTATTAGTACCCCCAAAACCCAATCTGTGTGGTGGGTTTGGCTTCCAAAATTTTATTAGTACCCCCCAAAACCCAATTTGTACAGTGGGTTTGAATTCCAAACCTTTATTAGTACCCCCAAAACCCAATTTGTGCTGTGGGTTTGGCTTCCAAAGCTTCCACCAAACCTACGAAGGTTAGGTTAGTTTAGTTTGTCAAAGCAACACAAGTAAAAAATAGTTTTCCAACTCTAGAAATCTGAACTATCGACTTTGTCCAACTCAATAGTTCAGATTTCTACTTTCTAATTTTGTTGTAAGTCGGCATATGTACTATGGTCCCCATAGTAAAGGAGCCGGTCGGCCGAGCGGACAGCACGCTGGACTTGTGATCTTGCGGTCCTGGGTTCGATCCCAGGCGCCGGCGAGAAACAATGGGCAGAGTTTCTTTCACCCTATGCCTCTGTTACCTAGCAGTAAAATAGGTACCTGGGTGTTAGTCGGCTGTCACGGGCTGCTTCCTGGGGGTGGAGGTCTGGTCGAGGACCGGGCCGCGGGGACACTAAAAGCCTCGAAATCATCTCAAGATAACCTCATGAATCTCAAGATAACCCATCGTCACTACAAGGACTACCATAACAGGAGGATGGGCTGCCCAATCGTAACCAACATGAATCATAAACCAGTCAATATGATTAATTGGAAAACGAACGAAAATGAGAAAGGTAGTTGCCATAATGTTAAATTTAATCAAGAAAGTGAGTTGTCATTGGTCTCGTGTTGTCATAGTTGACACAGGTCCTACACCGTTACTACTGACATATGTTCTATACCACCACAGCTGACAAAGGTGCCATACCACCACAGCTGACAAAGGTGCCATACCATCACAGCTGACAAAGGTGCCATACCATCACAGCTGACAAAGGTGCCATATCACCACAGCTGACAAAGGTGCCATACCACCACAGCTAACAAAGACCCCATACCACCACAGCTAACAAAGACCCCATACCACCACAGCTAACAAAGACTCCCATACCACCACAGCTAACAAAGACCCCATACCACCACAGCTAACAAAGACTCCCATACCACCACAGCTAACAAAGACTCCCATACCACCACAGCTAACAAAGACCCCATACCACCACAGCTAACAAAGACTCCCATACCACCACAGCTAACAAAGACTCCCATACCACCACAGCTAACAAAGACCCCATACCACCACAGCTAACAAAGACTCCCATACCACCACAGCTAACAAAGACCCCATACCACCACAGCTAACAAAGACTCCCATACCACCACAGCTAACAAAGACCCCATACCACCACAGCTAACAAAGACCCCATACCACCACAGCTAACAAAGACTCCCATACCACCACAGCTAACAAAGACTCCCATACCACCACAGCTAACAAAGACTCCCATACCACCACAGCTAACAAAAACCCCATACCACCACAGCTAACAAAGACCCCATACCACCACAGCTAACAAAGACCCCATACCACCACAGCTAACAAAGACCCCATACCACCACAGCTAACAAAGACTCCCATACCACCACAGCTAACAAAGACCCCATACCACCACAGCTGACAAAGACCCCATACCACCACAGCTGACAAAGACCCCATACCACCACAGCTGACAAAGACCCCATACCACCACAGCTAACAAAGACTCCCATACCACCACAGCTAACAAAGACCCCATACCACCACAGCTGACAAAGACCCCATACCACCACAGCTGACAAAGACCCCATACCACCACAGCTGACAAAGACCCCATACCACCACAGCTGACAAAGACCCCATACCACCACAGCTGACAAAGACCCCATACCACCACAGCTGACCACTCGCCTGACGAAACAGCAAAGCCGCCACCAATAAACTTCTCTATCACTCCTAGTGTTCAATCAGCCGTCGACGCGAAAACCAAATTTAGGCACAGTAAGCCTGGCTAAATCAACGTTACAGCAAACTATAAGCGAGTTAATAAGTTCCCAGGTTCGAATCCCTCGGGAAGGGCTCTAGGCACGTCACGGGTCGTGTTGGTACCTAAACATGAGATAGCGAGAGAGTAATAAGCGACTCAGCGTATTTGCGTTAGAGTAATAAGTATTTTTTTTAGCGAGAGTAATGAGAAAAAGAGGAAAAAATGTTGATAGCGAAGGAGAAGAGAGAGAGAGAGAGAGAGAGAGAGAGAGAGAGAGAGAGAGAGAGAGAGAGAGAGAGAGAGAGAGAGAGAGAGAGAGAGAGAGAGAGAGAGAGAGAGAGAGAGAGAGAGAGAGGGAGAGAGAGACAGACAGAGAGGGAGGATAGGCGTGAGAGATGGAGAGGGACGGATGGATAGAAGTGATGATCTGGTATTTACACATGGACCATGGACCGACTCGATCCTAAAATTGACTAGAAGTGAATTATTAAGTTCAAAAGAAATATGCAATTGAAGACTCCAGAAATTATTAAAATGTTAAAAGCTTCAAGACATTACGACTATATAGCACTGGGAAGGGGTCAGGATAAGGATTTGGGGATGAGCCGGTCGGCCGAGCGGACAGCACGCTGGACTTGTGATCCTGTGGTCCTGGGTTCGATCCCAGGCGCCGGCGAGAAACAATGGGCAGAGTTTCTTTCACCCTATGCCCCTGTTACCTAGCAGGAAAATAGGTACCTGGGTGTTAGTCAGCTGTCACGGGCTGCTTCCTGGGAGTGGAGGCCTGGTCGAGGACCGGGCCGCGGAGACACTAAAGCCCCGAAATCATCTCAAGATAACCTCAAGATAAGCCGACATCTATGGTCGTCACGGAACCCAATTTGAACAGGGGGCACCACCCAACTGTCAAGAGGTCAGCTGATCACCTTGTCAACCATATCCTTGACAAGGTGATCAAATATTGTTGATACCATCCTTGACAGCAAATACCAGAAGCTGAAATATTTTGACATCGTTGTTTTTCCCTTCAGACGCCCACGGGTATGGGGTGCATAATAAAGAAAGAAATTGAATCCTTCAACATTTTAGATATGACAAAAGTGGGCAGGAGTGAAATGTATGCCATGCTCACCCCATGCAAGATATCCAAGACCTTATACAGAGCGGCTTCACCACTTCAAGACACTATTTGAAGAAGTCAAATATCAATGGAGAAAATGCACTTACTGAGAACTCTTTGCTTGCAAGATCCAATCCCTATGAACAAATCCACAAGGGCAGTGACGAGGATTCAAACCTGCGTCTGGGAGCAGGTTCGAATCCTCGTCACTGCCCTTGTGGATTTGGTCATTTGATGCATCACGTTAGTGTGATCTCTGTGTGTGATCAAATCCCTATGTTTTTATTTTTAACAATTATACCTTTTCAAAAATGAAAGAAAGAAAGAACGACGATCCCCCAAGAATATTCTACCTCCAGTACAGTCCATGAAACTCTCCAAGTCTCTGAAGATACAGATTACGGGAGACACGCCCATTAAAGACGGAGTTCCATCTTCTTGTTTGAGGAGCTGTTCACTTGAGACAGTTAAGCAAGTCCCAGCTGTGTCTGGGTACAAGTGACAGGATGAACAACCCAGCGGGTTTTCTTCCTATTGGGGAGTGTTGTACATGCTGCTATGGCGGTGTGTCCACTCACAAGATGAGTGGTGCTGCCCAATAAACTCGCCCCTCGGGGCAAAATTTAAAAATTTAAAAATCTTGCAACGCTGAGGGCAGCAGCATCCATATCTTGCCCTTGACGGTGTCGGAGATTTGGAAAACTCTTAGCTACTCGGTCAACAGTTCCTTAGCTTCACCAGAGAAAGATTCACTACTTCTGCAACCTCCTTCAACAGCTAGATCTATTTCTGATAAATTGTTTGCATCTAA